GATTGCTTTGGATTATTCTTCATAATTGTTTTGAATTCGCAATTAATTAAATAATTCTTATTGAACTTTAATGGAGTACTAATTGAGTTTTAATTGATTTTGTTTAATTGGTTTTGATTAGAACGTTAGTTGATTTTGATTGAATTCTAGTTGAATATCAATTGAATTTTAATTGGTGCTTTAATGAAATTTCTTGATGGAATTTTGCAAATTTCCTCATTGACTTTTGTCATGATCTTGATTTTCTTAATAGTTTAATTATTCACTTTTTCTTTAGGATATCTTAATTCAATTCTAATCTTTTATTAAATTGAAATTAAGATTAGACCTTAGGCCTTTTAACCCAAGCATGACAACATTAGAATAGTTTCCTTTTAATCTTAATCTTAGGACCATTCTAGCATGATAACATTATAATAGAATTTCTTTTCTTTTTCTTTCATAAAACAAAAATATTTTCTTAATAAATAAAATACAAAAACACTTAACAAATATGATATGTATTATGCATCACAAGTCTTAAGCACATAGGAAAAGATGAGCGAGATTTTTTCTTACCTCTTTTTAGGGTATGTTGTACGTGAGACGCTTGGCTTATTTGAACAACACATTCGCTCCTATTGTCATAGAATTTAATGTGATACGTATCTCTAACCTTTTCAAATCTTAATGAAACACCTCACAAACTCAAATCTTTTACCTTTGGGCTTTTCCCTTTAAAACCTTTTCAAAAAGGGCATGCTACTTTCGTTCTATCGCAAACAGACAACGTCCCTAACGACTAAAATGCGAACTTAGCATCGTCCATGAAAAATACACAACAAATTAACTTTTTTAAACAAGAACTATGAAGTTTTAATTCCCTCTATGATACGTAGGCACTGGATCGCAAAACTCGGACAAACTCAATAATAACATTCTTTTCTTTTTTCCCAGTTAATTCATTCTCGCATTCTCTTAGCAAATAAGTCTTTAGATATTACACACCTTTTGATTAGAATAACAAGAGTGGATCCCGTTGAGTACACCGTACTTGAGGGGTGCTAACAACTTCCTCTTGCATAATCGACTTTTGAACCCGAATTTCGTTGCGAGAGCATGTTCATTCCCTTTCAAGTTTTTCTCGATGTTTTTCCTTTCCTTGATGGGATAAATAATTTCATTTTGGCGACTCTATGTGTTATTTTTCGCAAAGCGACACAACAAAATTAATATTATTGTTTAATTTTATTGATAGCTTTGTGTAATTGAATCTCTCGATTTCATAGCGAAAGATGTCTACGTAACATTAATCAAAGGACATAAGTAGAAAAATAATAATTATTTCAACATAAAAAAAAAAGAAGAGAAAATGACATTCATTTTCAACAAATTATATTTGTTAAAATAAAACTCATTTTGAAACAGATAAAGTCATATTCCTAATCTTATATATTAATTACCTAAGTTATATGATTTTTAGATTAATGTTCAAGAGTTGCAACATGTCAGCAAGAATATCATGCCTAAATTTAGCAACGTGTTTAAAAAAAGAGGATCTTGCAAAGACCGAGCCTAAAAAAACATATGTTCCTCGATTTAGGTTGTGACTTGAAACATATGTAGGAACAACAGATGTGATGAAAGGTGGTATTTGTGAAATACCTATGGAGGAAGGTATTTTCGGTTTTGCTTATACCAAAACAATTGCTAAAGAGGATTTGGATCAGATTTTTCAATATTCTGAATTAGGCATCGGTGTTATGAATTCATATATCATGTACTCCGATCAGTTTTATTTAAATAATTGAACAATTTATTTACTCATTTCAATGAATATTCTGATGTTGATTATGTTTTTATTTAAGGTTCTTGTATGACAAATTGATGCTCCCGCGTCAATTGACAGAAATATTTTCATTCTTATCTTCCAGTTGTATCAATGCACGGTTAATCGAACAAAGTCCAAATGCATTCCAAAATCACTTAGTCAATGCATTTATGGTCAACAGAGATACATAAAAGTTATATTTTTTGCCATATAATACTGGCCATGAGTTAGGATTCATTCTAATTTTATTTATTATAATTATTCATTTTTTTTCGTTGGATAGAAATTTTTTATCTAAACTTTTGTATTATTTTGCAGTGGACACTGGTTGTTGGTTGCAATTATTCTGATAAAAGAAATAGTATATTATCTGGATTCGTTAGATGGTGATCAAACAAAATACCCAGATATCAAGTAGATGGTTGATACGTAAGTGATGAGATTGTTCTGAACATTCGTGTGTATGTTTATTTATTATCTAAGGTTGTTCTAAATATTCGTTTATATTATGTTAGATCTATACAAATATTCCAATCACAGAGACAATTTCGAGTACCAAAGAGTAAAACAAACAACATTACATGGATCAGAGTGCAAGTATATTTTCACAATTTTGATTATAATTGTGATGCTACTTGATAAAACAAGTTAAACTATATATCCTAATATATATATATATATATATATATATATATATATATATATATATATATATATATATATATATATATATATATATATATATATATATATATATATATATATATATATATATATATATATATATATATATATATATATATATATATATATATATATATATATATATATATATATATATATATATATATATATATATATATATATATATATATATATATATATATATTCGTTTTTTTCCTATGTGAAATGTCCTCGTCAGCGTAATGGTATAGATTGCGGTTATTTTGTATTGAGGTTTATGAAAGAAACTCTTCATTTGGATCAAATAGAGATTCCAAACACGGTATGAATTTATAAGTTAGGATTTATATTAATATTTAGCGGATATTTCATCTAATATTAATTAGTTTTAACTAAATCATGCATATTATGTTATATTATGTAGTACTTCGATGAATTCAAGTGTGCTACTTACTCGAAAGATAAACGGGAAGAAATTAAGGAGAATTGATAACAATACATTCTTGAGATGAGAATTATATAACGTATATTGTATTTCCTTATTTTGTTTGAAGTTTATGGTCTTTAGAGATTTTTGTTTTTGTGATGTTTTGTACTACTGAATAGGAATAGTTCTAGAAGTTGTTGTATATATACTTCTAAAAGTTGTTATGAGGATTTATGGAACTTGTAATTATGTATAATGAATATTTAGAAGTTAAAAGTTTTGGAAGTGGATATGTTTTATTAGAATTGTGGAGGTTTGTGTTGATATTTGTGTTGAACTATAATGGTTATGAGGTTTCTGTTGAATTAAGCAGGTTTATGTGTTGAATTATAATGGTTATGAGGTTTATATTGAATGAAGCAGGTTTATGTGTTGAATTATAATGGTATATATATAAGGCTTATGTGTTGAAATAAAGTTGTGTTAAATTATAATGGTTATAAGCAGGTTTATGTGTTGAATTATAATGGTATATAGCCTATGTGTTGAAATAAATGCTTGTCTTGAATTATAATGGTTACAAGCAGGTTTATGTGTTGAATTATAAAGGTATATAAGACCTATATGGTTTGTGGTTCCATTTTATAAGTAAAAAATAAGACTTATGCCAACACTTTTAACAAAAAACACTTCTTAAAAAAAACACAATAGACAACGTTTATAACAAAAAAATGCTTTCTAAAAAAGTGTTTTTTAAAAAAGTGCTTTTGAAAACATCCAATAACGTGAATAAAAGAAAGCGCTTTCTAAGAAAAACGCTGCTAAAAATATGAAGAAACGATACATGTGAAAGCCTTTCAAAAGCGCTGCCTAAAGGGGGAGAAGAGAGCGCTATTCATGAAAAAGCGCTGCCTAAAGGGGAAAAAGAGAGCGCTTTTCATAAAAAGCGCCGCCTAAAGAGGATCTTTAGCGGCTCTTTTACCTTAAAAAAACGCTGTCTTTACCTACAGTAGCGTCACTTTAGACAGTGCTTTTAAACGCTGCTAAAGGTCTTTCATGACGTAATATCTTGTATTTTTTTTAATAGTTGATTCATAAGTACACATTGTTTACATAATGAAAAATATAAATAAATGTTATTCTTAGGGATTGAACTCTCGATCAACCATCTATATCATCTACTTTCTTATATCTATTCAATAAATTATTAAAAAGTTAAACTTTTCCTATAACAAGGAAGAGGATTGAGTAGTCATTTTTTGTGTTGAATTAATATCAATTAGATCAATACATATTGTAGGACGTGGTGAGTGAAAGAAATATAATCGAGTATACTCTTTAATTATTGAAATGAATCTTTTTCAAAAACAAAGAGTTTCGAAGACAAATAATGCTAATAAGTAGAAATGACTGCGATTAAGAATAGCCATGCAAATCTGTGAAAGATAAGACTTGGTGAAACTGAAGATATTTGTGAAGATAATGTTTTAAACCACTCAAATGTTTTTGACGCCTCTATCACTTTATAAAATTTCCTAAATGTTTTTATACACATACCTAACAGATTAAAGACTCAATGAATAAATTATAAGTGTTGTTTACATTGATAAATCAATTATTACATTAGGGTGAATCTATTAACATATTTGTAATGCCTCACGATCAATTAGTAAGAAATCGATTAACACATTTGTAACGTCTCCCAAGCACAAAGAAGAAGATAAAATGAATTTTTTTTTGGATCAATAGCAAGAAATTTAAGATAAATCAATGAAGATTGCAACTGATACCATATTATGAGTTAAAAAACTCAGTATTCTTGAAGTTAAAGAAAGGAAGAATGAAACCCTGATTTTTTCTTAGATTCATTATGGCACAAACTAATGTTATATACATGGTTATTAGTGAATGATTAAGAACACTAAGAACATTGCTGGTTACAATACATCATAACTAATGGTTGTTACTTGTGAAACAAGCAACTATAAAAGTAACTAATTAACTTCTTAACCTCATAACTAACTCTTTAACCACTTAACCAATTAGTATATTTGGAAATAGATACACTAATAATCGAATTTAAAAAGTAAAACTTTTCTTATAATAAGGACGGGAGGGAGTAGTCATTTGTTGATTAATTTCTTGAGTAGGAGGTGGTGAATGAAAGAAACATCTCCAACAATACTCTTTCATCATTGAAATGGATCTTTGCCAAAAATAAAAAGTTTCAGATATAAATAACGCCAATAAGGTAGAAATGATAGTGATTAAGAAGAGCCCTGCAAAGCTGTGAAAGGTAAGACTTTGTGAAACTGAAGATATTTGTGAAGATTGCTGCTGTAGGCCTTCAATACTCTTTCCAAAATATTTTTTCTCGATCTTTTCCATAAATTCATGATTTTGTGTCACATTCAATATTGCTCTTGAAAAGTGAGCAGTAAGATTGGAGTTTAAAGGAAATGCCTGAAAAATATTCAGTAACACATACATAATTACTGCAAAAAAAATGATCAAAAACTAAAATTTGATTGTAGGGAGAAAGAAGAAAGTACTTACAAAACCAAATCCACCAGTCCTATAGGTAGGACCAGTTATGATGTAATTGGATTTAACCTTTTGAAGAAACACATTAAGGTAGGGCTCTTCTCCAAAAATAGCTGTGACACCTCCATTTTTGCTTCCAAGCTTTAAAGCATGGTGATAGCTAGAAATGGTTCTATATGCTTTCAACTTCAATGGATTAAACTTCAATTGTTGTACTAATAAGTTATAAACGAAAGAACCATCTTGATATCCAACATAATGATCTCCTTTCTTTAGATCATTGACGTCCATAAAACTAGGTTGCAACTGATCTAAGGTCAATATTGATGTCAAGTTTGCAGTATAACTTTGCATGAGGACAAACGCCAACAGCAGCCAAACCATCAGCACAAATATTGAGCAGTTATTGGCAACTACTTTTCCTAAAAATTTAAAATTATTTTTCAATCAACAAAAGATATTTCTTTTTAAATCAGAAAAATATTTACCAATACTTTAGCAAATTTAATTACTTTCGGGAAGAACGGCTTGTGATAAGGGAAACCATAGCATGGTTATTGCAGAGAGCTGTTTTTTAAACGACAAATGATCGTCGTGATGATCATCGGGTAGGGTTTTTACGTTTCTTTCCATGATGAGTATGACAGATCCTATCAGCATGGAGATTAAAAGTATGCTCAACCAAAGTTGCCAGCTGAAGGGTCGCACAAAAATCCACATGGTTTGGTATCTTCCATGTTGAGCTGAAACTAACATTCTAACTCCTGATTCTGTAAATGGTAGTGTGAAATCTACAAATTGTGAACGATTTGCCACGATTGTTACGTCCCCCACCACAATATCATACTGAAATTAGCATATAGAAAGTAAATTCGTTAACTTAAAAACTAAAATAATTTTGACTAAATTGTCCCTATAAGGTAGCAAGGTTTTAGTTTTCGTCCATATTTTTTTCCCATAAAATAATCCCTCAATCTTAAAATTTTTATGATATTAAAATTTAAATCCGTAAGAAACTTCGCAAGTAATTCTGCAGAATATTTCGCAGAAAACCTACGGATTTTCTTGCAAATTTCATACGAAACCTGTGAATTTTCTTACAAAATTTAACTTTAGAAATTCAGGTTTCACAGCCATTGTTGTTGCTTGCTTCGCAAGCTTATAGCTTGTGAACTCCTTGGGGCAAATAAGAAAGCTTAGTATTCAATAAAAACACATTCTTCGAGAGCACAAATAAAAAAATATTTAAAGGAACGAAAACCAAAAACGCAGTAACATCTGAATACCGGGACAATTTAACTATTTAAACCAATGATTTTAAGCACGTTGGAATTAAGTCTACACATACCTTTGCTGGGACTTGTTGGATAAGTGAATCATATGATCCAGCACTGGATTTGAATTCATTAACATAAGGTTCAATTTGTAGAGAAACCTTGAAAGTTAACTTGCCTAAAACGGCATTGAAAATATCCATGCAAAATCCAGACACGTTGTACTTGTTTTCACGAGAATTCCAAACTACTTTTAGAAATTGGGTAAAGCCATCTTTCTTAGGAACTCCAACTCTCAACTTAATCACTTCTTCCTTTGACGCAGGACTCACCTTTTGCATCTGTACAACCAAAACGAAAATTATTAGTAAACATGAAAAACACAAAGACTTGGTCATCTTGGAATTGGCAAGAACAAGAATATACTCTAATCTTCATTTCTTCTCTTTAATTTATAGACATTTGAATGGGTTTTGCTTACATAGTTAATCAATAATTAATTCAACAAGTACCGCAGATTCCCTCCCTTTCACATTTAGATATATCTATAAATTAATCAACATTTTATATAAGTAGAAATTAAGTCTCCATTTGAACATTTAATTTTTTTTAAAAGCTAACAAAATTATATATATAAAAATAACGAGACACTAAAGATCTAGAGTACATATATAAATTATTCAAAATTATAAATAAGTAGAAAATAAATCTCCCCTAAATGTTTTATATGTTCAAACGCAGATTTAAACTCACATGTTTTCTGGTATTTAATGTGTTTTAATGAAGTGTTCCTCAATAAATTTATCATTTCTATTATGTCTCATCTTAGCATTGAACATTTTAGGTGAAACGCGAGGTGGGCATAGGAGAGATGCCTTACATAAAAGAAAGGTTTTAAGAGGGAAAAATTTAGAGATAAAGAGAGACTGTTTCATTCTAAGAGTTTGGTAGATAGTTGGAAGATGTCTTATTATTGAGAAACAATTTCTTTGGGTTGCTTATTTACCTTGTTCTTTTTATCGTAGTTTTTCTTTCACACATTAGTTTGTAAATTATTATTGTTTGAGACTATTTAATAGACGGTCATTGTTCTTTGTTCTACAAATAAGTGTTTTTGGTGTGTTTGAATCTTTCATTTCACAATAAGTGGTGTTGAGAATGTAGCAAGTGTGAGTAGTGTTACATTGGTTGGAAATATGAAGACTTATGTATTATAAGTGAGAGGATTCATTTACCTAACATCTTAAAATTTTGGGTTGAGATGTGACGTCTCTCTCTTAAGGTTTTGGGACATTAGTCCTGTTGGTACTCCCGACTCTTCCGGACTTCCCCAACACATGGTATCATGAACCTTTGGTTCGAGAATGAGACTGAATTACTTGTATCGAAAATCAACAGCGCCACAAGGGTGGTTAATAAGAAATGTTCCGTTGAAGAATGTCAACAACGCCACAAAGGTGGTGAGTAAGAAATGTTCTGGGCGGTACAATAGTTTGTGGAAGTAAGAATAACTTTCACTTGAGGGGAAAGATTGTGGACTCACACTTGAGTGGGAGTGTTAAGAATGTAGCAAGTGTGAGTAGTTGGGTAATAGTCCCACATTGGTTGGAAATGTAGAGACATAAGCATTTATAAGTGAGAGAGCTCACCCACCTATCACCTTATTATATATGTGCGGTACAAGAGTTTGTGGAACTAAGAAGAGTTTTTCTTTGAGGAGTATTGTATACTCACACTTAATGAGGAGTGCTGAAAATGTAGCAAGTGTGAGTAGTGTCACATTGGTTGGAAATATGGATCCTTAACGATTTATAAGTGAGAGAATCCACTCACATATCACCTTAAGGTTTTGAGTGAATATGTGGTGTGTCTCTCACAAAGATCATGCTCTAAAAAAGAAGTCTCACAATGTTCAATACTTTTTGCTAAGGAGATGCGCCTTGTTTTAACGAAATTATATAAACGGATTGTTAGTATAATTAGTTGCACTTTTTACTCTCGGCCTTAATATTCATTTTATGAATTTCACTGTGCAACCAAAATTTTATGGAATATTTGTGTTGAAGGACATAGATTCTAGGCATATACAGGAGAATATAACGATAGAGATAACCATATTCAAGACAATTAAAAGAATGTTGATTTGCTGATAAGTATCAAAATTACTTGTTTAACAAAAAGCACTTAATAGCTTATATAACAAGAAATCATATGAAAAGCCTTCAGTAATCATAACAAATAGATAAACATATATATGGACATTTTAAATGTTCCATTTACAATTACATGTGAATATGTTAAAGAAATTCAAAAGACCAAGATGCTGAACAGCAGGGTATTATTGGGCAAAGTTAAAGCTTGTCGAGTGAAAATAAGCCTCACTGGCTGAAAACACAGGAGGTTCAGTTGACTTATTGTCTAAGTTACTTCATAGTAAATAAAGGGTTTGTTCGTTGGGGGAAATTAGAGGCTCGTTGAGCGAAAAGAGACTATCGTAGTTCACTTGGATGAGCTGGATATAACATGTTGGTGAAGAAAAGTAGGCTCAATGAGCGAGCTAATGACTTCATTGAGAAAAAAATGGTTGCTCAGATCCCTATAAATGGAGGCCACAACCATTCAAAAATTCAATTCATTCCAATATAATTGAGAACATGAGAGAAAGAGAATATAGGGGATTGCGAGGGATGTGTTAAAGATCGAAGGTGAAAACTTTGTTCAACCAGAGAATTCGCCGCTGATGTTTTTCCATCTATTTCTTCTTTATGTTCATTGTAAAGATATGATGAGTAATCGTAGATAAACTTTTTTTTGTTAGGGTTAGATGTAATTGTCCAAATACTCATGTACTCATCTTGACTATTGGGTTATATATGTTCTAGTTATTCATTAGTATTGTTGATTATATTTCAAAAATAAAATTGTTGAATATCTTCATTCTTAATGCTTGTTATAACCTGATAATTTTGATTTGTTATAATAATTTTAAATTGATATTGAAAAATAATTTTCATAACTAGATCAAAGATTTTCATCAGTTAAATATTAAAACACTAGAGACGGATTTATGTTTAGCATTCACACAAATTGTAAAACTTAATGTTATCGTATTGGTTAACCATATGAGAGATCATTAGTTAATAAATACAATTAATTTCACGATGTTGTTTAGACATATAAAAAATACACATAGAGATAGGTGATAATATTAATTGTTGACTAAGAACCTATATAACTGATCATAAAAGTACACAAGGATATGATAATAAACTCTAACCCCGACAATATCATTTCATCTATTAATCTTATTTCTATTTAGCGTAATTTCAATAAACAAACAAATTTTCTAAGTACTTCTCTTAAAATCATAAATATTATTGAACACCATTAATATTGCACCAATCCTTGTAGAAACGATACACAAGAAAATACTTACTTCTATTATAACTACTCAACAAAATGTCACTGTTGTCTGGGAGTGGCGTTCAAATATTATAAACATTGCAATAATTTTTATCATTTAAAATACACTTGTAATTATGTGCCTGCAGGTACTATCAAAGAAATATAAAGTGATGAAGTTTGTTAATAGTAAAGTTGCAATCAACTATTTGTTTTTTTATGATGACAACACCTGAAATTTAACAATATATAATAAAGTCCTTATATCTTAAAGATAGCTATAGTGGTAAAATATGCTCACGATGTTTTATAATGTTATCCTATTGAAGATGCTCTTTAAGATCAAGGCTTCTCTCTGAAGGCAACACCTGACATCCAACGATGTTCAAGTAAAGACTTTTGTTTCAAGGTTTCTCCGTAAGTTCAACCTCTTAACTCTCTAATGATGGTAATCAACTTGAACATATCTCAAGTATCATCAAGCTAGAAGATTTATGGTTCTTTTGCGATGCTAAAGTTAAAGATAATATTGTCAAGAGAAGCTTCAGAGTGATGAAAAATAGGAAGTGTGAAAGCTCACCTGGCCATGTTCTTCTAGGTGACCAATGTCCTGTAATGGCATGGAAAATAATGGCGCTAATGCAGACAACCAAGACCCCAAATATAATGCATTGATCATACTTTTAATTATGAAACACATTTCTCATAATGTATCAACTATCAAAGATGCATGAACTATGTATTTCAATACCTAATCATCAATTTCTACAAAGTTATACAAAACTTCAAAAAAGTTTACAATAATAATAAAACTTACGAGAAGTGAAGAATCTTTAAAGTTAGTTGAATGAGCTCTTTGATGTAATTGGTGTTGATTGAATAAGTTTTGATGTTGCTTGATTGATTTTGAGACAATGTGATTTTGAGAGTTTTAGAAGAAAAAAATTTAACAAGTGAAGAAGTGTTCTTATGCATTATGTACATGCAACGTCCGGAGATGTATCTTCGTAATGTTTACGAAGATGTATCTTAGTAGTTTTTCACATAAAGTCAGACTTCTATTGACTTAGAGTGACACATCTTCAAATTTTAAAAGCATTTTTGTATTTTCACGTAGTATCAAAATAATACATAGAATGCATTAAGAAATTTTCTATTTTTAAAAAAAAACTAGTTAATAATGCTATTTCTTTATTAAAAATACTTTGTGGTGCACCTTTATATCACATCAAATATATATTTATATTTATTTGCATATATTCATTGTTAGTGAGGGAACACAAGTGATGACTTGTAATATTGTTCAAAGTTTAAAATTCAAGAATAAGGATTACTAGTAAATAAATACGTTAAGCACTATCAAATGTAAAAGAAAAGAAAATAAATACATTATCAAACAAACTAGACTAACCAACCAACAAGCAATGTTGAACATTTATGTCTTTCAAAAAATGTTGAACATTTATAATTTATTCGGGTAAACTTAGGTATTGTAGAATTGATCTATAGCTTGTAAAAGCTGTTCGATTGAACTTGATAATCAAGCAAGGGGTTGTGTATAGACATTAAGAATAGATTATTCAATCGTGCTTCTTACATGGCACATGCTTACTTTCCATTATATTCTTAAAAATTCTATTATTATGTCTAAACAATTATTCTATCCAACCATCTTATTTTTCAAGAATAACAAACTGAAATGTTCAATGCATTAATTAATTAATTAATAATAATAATAATAATAATAATAATAATAATAATAATAATAATAATAATAATAATAATAATAATAATAATAATAATAATAATAATAATAATAATTAATAATAATAATAATAATAATAATAATAATAATAATAATAATAATAATAATAATAATAATAATAATAATAATAATAATAATAATAGTCTTAAGGGACTCTAATAATTAATAATAATAATAATACAATCAGATAGTCTTAAAGGACTCTGTTAGGAGATTATGCAAAATTTACAT